GTGTGCTTAATACCACTGAATGATGGATTGTTACAAGATTTGTAAGAGCCCCCCAGGAAAATGATTTTTTTTTTAAAGAAAGGAAGAAAGATTGTGTCCGTCTAAATCTTATCTTGACCAGACTCATGGGACTGGTGCAGTTGAAAGGGCATCCAGAGTACCCCCATGTGAAAGCCACGGCTCCATAGCATCCCTCCGGGGGGGCTGTCAGATCCGCTCTCACGCAGCCAGGGCCTGGGCACTCAGGACCTCGGGGCGGCCCACTCCACCTTACAAGAGTTCACTTATGACGCAGGAAGTTCGTGGAACTGTTTCCCCGCCGCTTACACGCCCTCTGATCCTAGGAACCTTACAACAGGGCGGGTGGATAACAGGACCCTCAACGTCCTGCCAGGTTCAACTCCTTTCATGGTCCAGCCCTTACTCGTAGAACTCAATGTGGAAGTCAACACCACGCAGGGACGCCCTTCCCGCCCCACTCCGACATTCTTTGATGGCAGGGACTCGCCTTTTTTTTTTTTAATAGCCAGCAGTCAAAGATCTCAGCAAAAGGAATTCCAACCACGGGGGCAGATCACGACTTTGGGCCTGGGGCTGGGGGAGATCCTAGGTGCCCCTTCTCAACCAGCTGCTGGCCTGGGGGCAGATCACGCCTGTCCCGAAGGGACGAGGGCGGCGCACGGATGCTCCCGTCCCTCGGGAAGGAGCCCGGGCCCCGGGAGGGGCCACGCTCCGTGCGTCCCGGGTGCGCGCTGCCCGGATGGCGCAGGACCGGCGCCGGGTCCCCAGCCCGGTCTGTCCCGGCCGGCGGGGCCAGGGAAGGCACCGTCTCACCTTCACACTTCTGCTCCACGAAGTCCAGGATGGGGACGCACCAGTCCGGGCAGCGCAGGAAGCCCGCGATGCTCTCCACCACCCACTCCACCTCCTCCGGGTCCTCCGCGGCCATGCTGCTCCGGCGGCCGGGCGCACGGCCGGCTCTCCGCGCCGGCGAGGCCTCTCGGCCGCGGGCGCCCGAGCGGGGAAGGAGCTTGGGGCCCTGGGCGAAGCGCTACCCGGGAGGTCGCCCGACCCGGGCCGCCACAGCCAGCCGGTTAACGTAACACGGTCGCTATGGCAACCCGCGTCGCCGCCCAGGGCGGAGCCTTCGCACCCCCACCCCCCGCCCCGGAAGCCGGCGGAGGTTCCCCGCAGTCCGCGCGCCTCCCCGAGGAGGCGTGACCCCGGGCCTCCGATTGGCTGGGAAGGAGCGGCGCGGACGCCGCCGGGCCTGCGCCCTCGGGGCCGCGCTGGGTGGTTTGCGCGGGCCGGCGGCTGCTGGTCTTGCATCCCGGCGCCCGGGGCGGCCGTCTGGGCGCCCCTCTCCGGGGAGGCGGTGGAGACCGGGCTCGGGCTCGAGCGGTTCCGAATCCCCGGGCCTCCATCGCTTGCCCGCTGGCCCAGAAGCGTTTCTGGAACGTGCTGTTGGGCGTCAAAGCAGCTCCCTCCGCAGGATCTGCTCCCTGGCTCCCTGGGCACAGACGAGACCGCTGGTGGGGGTTTTACAAGGACGACAGAAAAATGAGTTTTCATGTCCTGTGTGATCCAAAGATCGTAAAGAGTTAAGATCCAAACCCGAAGGAGGGAACGTCCCGGGACTGACATGCTAAACCCCTGGCTCGGGCGGGGACGCTATGGCGGATGGAGGACGTCCGAAATACCTTTGCAAGACCCCTGGGTGGCTCCAGTCCCGGGGACGCCCACTGCCCCTAGACCGGGAACGCGAACGGCCCTGATAGCAGACAAAGAGGACCGAAACGTGGGCTCGGCACCGGCTCTTGGGCTGCCATGCAACACCTTGTCGTTTGCGCTCCCTTGGGGCCCATTTTGAATTCATTTATTCTATTTTTTAATATTTTATGCTTTCTCTTCGGTGTCTTTCTCTGTTTTTATATGGTCTGTCTTGTGTTATCTGTATCTATGGGTCCTTCTTGGTTTTGTTTTGCCCTTCCTTTGTGTTTTTCTGTGCCGGGAAGCTGGGGTGGGTGGGTTTACCTGGAGAGTCGTTGGGTGACCGATGACCTGGGCGCACTGAAGCGGGGCGGGGGTCAGGGGGACGTGGGGAGCTAACACCAATGAATTCAGGGCGGGAGGGAAAGCCCTAGAGCTGATTGTGGCCGTGACTGTACACATTCTGGATAATGATTCAACTAATGAATTGTATGATACGTTATATCCCAATAAAACCACTTTTAAAGAAAAACTATTAAAAATAAACCATCAATAAAACTTGTTTTTAAAGAAATTCTATGTACCATCCAGAGAACTTGGTGACTGATGGTGAACTTGTTGGTAATTATGTTACATCGCTCTAGCTTGATGGTTTTTGCTTACAAGTTTGTACAATTTTGTAAAGATTGTATATACCTACTAATTAAACACTCTGAATGGGGGGGGGATTTATTGCATTTAAATAAATAATGACATTACCAAATCTTCCATAGTAAATAATGCCACCTTAACCTTTAGATTGTAGTCCTTTGTAACAATACGTTTCATCAGATGTGAAATAAGATCTCCAGAGTTGAAGATGCTTGGAGTCACAAAGATCTTCAGATAACTCTGTGCACATAACTATAATGCACACACATTTAAGAAAAAAATAATTGAAAAATATTTAACGTTACCTTTTCATATCAAGGTATCTCTATCGTTTCTTTATAACATGTTTGTATCCCATAAGCCAGCATGTAGTCCATTTTACTTCAGATGTGTGTCTCTGGCATGTTTACATACATAGACACACATTAGGTGCCATTGAGCTGGTTCCAACTAATACCAATCCCATGTGCAACAGACTCAGACAGAATGGATGCTGCCTGGTCCTGCGGCACCTCAGTAATTCCAACGGGTGAGCCCATCATTGCAGCCACGCACTCAGTCGATCCATCTCACCAAGGAGCTTCCTCTTCTTTGCTGCCCCTCCACTCTCTCAAATCCTTCTCCAGGGACTAGTCTTTCCTGACAAGGTGTCCAAATTATGAGAGACGAAGCCTTGGCTGAGCTTTTTCCAAAACATCTGTTTGTTCTTCTGGTAGTCATGGTACTTTAAATACTCTTTACCAATACCGTAATTCAATGTGTGAGTTAATCTTCAGTCTTCCTTATTCACGGTCCAACTTTCCCATGCGTATGAGACCTTGGAAAATGCCATCACTTGGGTCAGGCACACCTTAGTTCTCAAAGTGACATCCTTGCCCGTGAACACTTTAAAGAGGTCTGTGTAGCAGAATTGCCCAGTACAATTTATCATTTGATTTCTTGATTACTGCTTCCATGAGCATTGATGAATCCTTGGCTACTTTGATCTTTTCTCCATTTATCCTGATGTGAGCCGATGGTGAGGATTTGGTTTTCTTCACATTGAGCTGTAACGGGGCGTGCGGATGGTCTTGATTTTAATCATCATGCATGTCAAGCCCGCCTTGCTTTTTAGCCAATAAGCTGGTGTCATTGCATTGTACGGGTTGCAAGTAAGCCCTTTTCCAACCCTGATGCCATTTTCTCCTGCATTTGGTCCAGCTTCTTGTATTATTTGCTAAGCATTCAGATTGGAAAAGGATGGGGAAAGAATACAACCTTTCTGACGCGCACTTTCCTTCATTTTAAACCATGCAATATTCTCTTATTCTACTTGAATGACTGCCTCTTGATCCATGCACACGTCCAGCATGCACCCAATGAAGTGTTCTGGAATGCCCATTCTTATTAGTGGTAAATGATCTGCATAGTCAAATGCCTTTGCATATATCAGTGAGACACAAGTAGACATTTTCTTCCTGGTATCCCCTGCCTTCAGTCAAGATCCACCTGATGTCGGCAATGATAGCTCTTGTTCCACATCCTCTTCTGAGTCCAGCCTGAATCTTTGGAACTCCCTGTCAATGCACTGATGCAACTATTACTGAATGATCTTCAGCAATATTTTTCTTACATGTGATACTAATGAAAACCAGACTTACTGCCATCAAGTCGACACTGAATCGTATCAACCCTGGTGGCATATTGGTAATAAGGTGGGCTGTGATTCACAAGGTCAGCAGTTCAAAACCATCAGCTGCTCCTCAAGAGAAAGAGAGGGCTTTCTCTTTCTATAAAGAAACCCACAGGGACACTTCTACCATATTCAAAAGGGTCACTATTATTAATGAGATTGCTTGATCATTTGAGCATACTCTTGGGCCACCTTTCTTTGGAATGGGTACAAATATCGATCTCTTCCAATTGGTTGGCCAGGTAGCTGCATTCCAAATGTGCTAACGTAGCCGAGTGATTCCAGGGCTTCATCTGCCTGCACAGACATTTCAAATGGAGCCTTGTTCAATACCGCCTTCAGCACAGCTTGGACCTCTTCCTTCAGCCCCGTTATCTCCTGAGCATATGCTACCTCTGGAAACAGCGGAAGAGGTAGCATGTAATAAAGAACCAATGAGACCGAAGGAAGTCTCCCACCTGTGAAATCTACCTGTATAAGTGGCATCTCTCTCTGGGAGACCAAGTCTGTGTCTTCCTTCCATCATCTTTTCATACATTTGCATATTCAATATTTTCCCCATGTACTCTTTCAATATTGCAACCGGAGGCCTGATTTTCTTAAAAAGCCAAATTCAGTTTGTGATATGTTGAGCATGTTCTTCTATTTTGGTTTTCTAACTTCAGGTCTTTGTGCATGTGATCATAATATCCTACTTTGTCTTTTCAAATGGCTTTTTTACTTCTTTGTGTTCCACCTGCCTCAGCCAGGCTATGTTCATTAGCAACTTTCAGAGTCTCATGACATTCACTTTGGGCTTTTCATCCTGTCTTTTTAATGATTTTTTGCTTTCTTCATGTATGAAGTTCTTAATGCCATCTTACAGTTCATTGGGTCTTCTGTTGTCAGTGTGCAATGTATCAAATCTGTTCTAGAGATGTTCTCTGAATTCAAGTAGCATAGACTCAAGACTGTATTTTGGCTCTTGAGGACTTGCTTTAATTTTCCTCAGCTTCAACGTGACCTTACATATGAGCAATTTATGGTGTGTTCCACTGACAGTCCTGGCCTTGTTTTGACGACTGATATTTAGTTTCTCCGTGATCTCTTCCCACAGGTCACTTTGATTCCTGTAAATTCCATTTGGTTAGGTCCACATGTATAGTTGGCATTTATGTTGTTGAAAACAGATATTTGCAATAAGGAAGTCACTGATGTTACGCAATCCTGTCGTGTGATCTCTAGCTTTGTTTCCACCACCACGGCATACTTTCCATCTACTGCTCCCTCTTTGTTCCCAGCTTTTGAATTCCAATCATCAATCATTATCAATGCATCATGATCGCATGTTTGATCAATTTCAGACTGAAGGAGTGGGTAGAATAATTTCTTCATCACAGTGCATAAATGTGCAGAATGGTAGAATTAACTTTTTCCTTGTGGGCATATAGCTACTATCCTATCACAAGTGACACCGTATTTTAAAGTAGATCTTGAAATGTTCCTGTTTCCTGTTTGACAACGAACAGGATGCCTTCCTCTCGAGTTTGTCATTTCCAGCATAGTAAACCACATGATTTTCTGACTCCAAATATCATTTATGATATTTGTGTTCCATTTCATTTTTCACTATTTCCAATTTTCCTAGACTCATACATTTCACATCCCAGTTATTAATGGATGTTTGTAGCTGTTGCTACTCGTTTGAGTCGGGCCTCATCAGCAAACGAAGGTCCTGAACGCTGAACTTTACCCGCATCACTCTGCTTTGAAGAGGCATCTCTGCCTCAGTCCCATTCCAAGTGCTCTCCCAGCGGAGGGCTCATCTCCCTGCGCCGCATCTGATGATGTTCCAGTTTCCATGTGGTTTCAGTGGCTGGTCCCTCAGACGCAGACGGCTCATTCCTTCTTTGGAGTCTGTTCTTAGCTTCAAAGTGGT